TGAGTGGTATTCATTAAAATAGGAGGTTTCAAATGCATGAGGTGTTTGCAAATTTTTGTGGGGGTTTCATATGCATGAGGTTTAAGGAAAAATGCTAGCTTTATAAGTATGTATGAAGTGAAAGCTTCCATCTAGATTCATTTTTGAACATTTGGAAACTACTGACGATGTCATTGGAAAATTTTGAAAATAAAGATACTAGAGGTGTTTCTTTCATGTTTTTTGCAACTAACATGCCTAATTAAGACTACATAAATGGCATGGTCTTCAAAAAAATCACTGGTTAATTTCTAGATAATTAATGATTGTTATTTGAAGTTAAAATTTTTAATTAATGGTTTTTGTTCATATGCATTTTTACCTAAACATTATAAAATCACTAATATTTTGAAGTGAGGTTTCTTAGAAAAAGGAAATTTGTTATATTATATAAATATTTGATTCCCGGATTTATTGTTTAATTCCAGCTTCGTCACCATGCACAGTTTCTTTCCCCAATCCCCCCTTTCCCTTCTTTTTGAACATGATACATGCCCATCGGCAATACATACACATCACTGACAAATCACAGACTTACATTTCATGTGATCAAAACCCATGGCTGATACAAGTCAAACGGAAACGGTGTCTTCCGAATGGGACGATCTAACGGGAAAGGTAGTGTTGGTGACCGGAGCGTCATCTGGAATCGGCCGGAGCTTCTGTGTAGATCTGGCGAACGCCGGTTGCAAAGTGATCGCGGCAGCACGCCGGCTAGATCGGCTGATATCTCTCTGCATGCGATGAGATCAACGGAAAAGACCTCATCGATGACGTTCGAGCAGTGGCCGTGGAACTTGACGTCGCTGCTGAAGGTCCCGTGATATAGAAGCCTCTGTCAAAAAAGCATGGAACGCATTTGGGCGCATTGATTGTTTGATTAACAACGCTGGGGTTAGAGGTGCGTAATAACAAAGATTTAAACGATTCAAGAGGCCATGATTGAATAAACTAGTTTGGTTTCTAATCTTGATAAGTTTATCCTATATTGACTGAATATGTTAGTTCAAATAGAGCTTTCATGATTATGATTATTTTCAGGAAACATGCTGTCTCCACTGGCCGGAGTTGTCTGAAGAAGCATGGAACAGCACCATGAGAACAAACTTGACAGGAACATGGTTGGTAGCTAAGTACGTGGGTAGATATATGTGTGATGCTAAACATAAACATGAACATAAACATGGAGGATCAATCATCAATATCTCCTCAATTTCTGGTCTTCCTCGTGGAGAATTACCTGGAGGTCTGGCTTATGTGTCTTCAAAGGCAGGTGTCGTCACATTGACCAAGGTACTTATCCTTTAATTCAACTTTTATAGATATATTACATATGATGATATTTATGTATTAAATGGCTATGGAAATGGGTATGTACAACATCATGGTGAACTCGATTAATCCGGGGATTTTTAGGTCTGAAATCACAGAAAGTTTACTGAGGAAGAAGTGGCTGAATCAAGTGGTTGAAAAGATTGTCCCTTTAGGAACATTTGGGACTACTGATCCAGGGTTGACTAGTCTAGTAAGGTATTTGATCCATGATTCATCCAAGTACGTCACTGGAAATACGTTCATCGTGGATGCAAGTACTACCTTACCAGGTGTCCCGCTTTTTTCTTCACTTTACAATCTAGATAAACTCACCACATTATTCTACATCAAGTTTCAAGTCGGATACATTTTTAATTTGCATGCTTCATCAAATGTCATATCTTTTGTGTAACCTAAGAAGGAACAACTATATATATATATAGTTTATTTTGTTTTACACAATTATGATTATACTGTATTTTGTTTTACAACAACTTATAAGGAGGCCATGAATTGAAATGTAGAATCGATGACCCATGACTAAACCGGTTGTTATATTAGGTATTGGTTCCAGATTGTGGAACGGGTTTGGAATATTCTTTTCTGCAAAGACCTTAAGTGATCAACTAACTCAAATCTTACAACTTTTAGCCGATCGGGTTCAGCTTTATGAGGTTCATCATTGATCCTTGATTCCTACATTAACCAAAGTGTGTATATGGAACAAACTAGAGATTTCTACTTGTTTCCATCTCAGTATATATGTATATATTTTTCAGATAATCTAATCAAGAATTTTGATGAGACTGTAGCAACTAATGAATCAATCATAGAGAGTTTGACTTCTAAATTGAGCGGCTTGCAACTTGAGCTAACATCAAAGGAAGATAGGCTTAATGATATGCAGGACCTTAATGAAAGAAAGAAGAAAAAAACTTGAAAATTGCTCCAAACCATGCCTCATGCTTCAATACTTCAAGCCTTCAACACACACACACATGTATCCTCCTGTTAAAAACTTAAAATTGTGAAATGCAAACATTACAAAAAATTACCAATTTACATTTGTGGATAATGAGGTAAAGAAAACATTACCAAAATGCAATACAAATTGAACAAAAGCCCAAAATTGGTGGTTTTTTCTAACCGCTTTAATAACCGGATTTGACCATACCGACTCGAACCAAACCGGTTTGTCCACCTCTAATTGTAGAAGCCAGAAAAAGTCCATAGTCATATGACATAAATTCGGCCCAGTAGAATAAAATTGGTTAATTTATTTGGCCCAGTAACATCAAAACTAGCTAGTCCGGTTGTTCTTTAGAAATGTTTTTGTCTAAAGCTAACTTTGTAGATATTTATTTTACTTACTTTAATAAAGATGGTGGTTACGAATGAGACGTAGGAATTAATTAAGAGATGGTAAATGAGAAATTTCTTTGGCGTACTAGCTGAAAAGCAAACTGTTAGCTGAAAAGCTAACTGATAGCTGAAAAGCTAGCTGTTAAATAAAAAGCTAGTTGATAGCTGAAAAGCTAGCTGATAAAAAATAACGTTTGGTAAAACTAACTGAAAAACTAGCTGAAATATATAAAATTACATAAAAGGACATGTAGGAGTATGTGTTTCTATAATTAATTAAGGGGTGTATTTGGAAATTTAAAAAAAGCTTCTAAAAAGCTAGTCTAAGTAGTTTTTCAAAAAGCTAGCTTATAAGTTACTTTTTGGCTTACCAAACACGACAACATAAAAAAGCTCGAAAAATAAGCTAGCTTATCAGCTAGCTGTGGCGCGCCAAACACAACCTAAGTATTTAATACTAGTTATTACAATCCCAATTCATACGTTAATCAAGGATAAAACAAACCCACGATTTAATGAAGGTGGTTAAAATTAATAAACGATCTAAATTTTAAACTCCTAACAAACCATGTCCAAACGTAAAAGTATTTTTGAACTTAAATCTTGCATCACTAAAATGGTATAGTGGTGATAACCGGCTACAAAATATTCCGAAATAAAGTGATTTAAATTCGAATTACATATGTTTCATCTTTGGATTGTTTGTTGATAAAAGATGATTTTTTTTTTTTAAAAATAATTAAAATTCCGCATACAGTTTTTTTTAAAAAAAAACATAAATTCAAATCTCCAATTATATATACAATAAAAACACATTGCTCTTACGAACAGTGGAGCTAGTAAGTTTTTCGGCTGACTTTTTATGTGGTTATCGACTTCTTTATTTTTTTACCGGACCGTTTTTTTTACCGTTTTGTTATTTCTGGCTGGTTTTTTCAACGGATCTATGGGTGATCGGAAGGAAGATGAGGGTGGGTCGGTGGAGCTGCTTGGGTAATCGAAAAGTGTTTGTAACATCCATAAAATTCGAGCCAATTTAAACTTTTTAAATCGTTTAAAACCATTCAGTTATTACAATTTGTTTTCAAAATAGTTTAAACATCAGAGTTCTCAGAAATCAAAATCATCAATCGAGGAAGTGTACGGTCACGCCTTCGCCTTCTCGCGGTCATCCGTTGAACCTGAAACAATAAACTGAAACTGTAAGGTCTTGAAGGCTTAGTGAGTTACTCCCGAAATACCAACGTCATACTGATATAACCATAACATATAACATATAAGTAAACAGAACAGCCATGCATCTCGAGTCTACAATGTGACTGGTCCGCCCGCACGGGGCCTTCAGTCCACCTGGTCCACTCTCTGAGTCTACAGTATGCATAATGAGCCTTCATCCTGGCTGGACCGCCTCGCGGGGCCTACAACCTATCTGGACCGCTCCCGAGCCTTCGGCATGACTGGACCGCCTCGCAGGGCCTACAGCCTATCCGGACCGCTCGCCGGGTATGTTGACCTACAGCACAAAGCAGGACCGCCTCAACCCAACCCCCAACCAAACAATCATGTGCACATAAATATTATACGCTAGCTCATATCATATAACAGTCAATCTGATCTAACAGATCACTAGTCATAGCAACATCCCAATAATCGGGATACAGACCTAACCGGTCACTAACATAGCCTCATCCTATAACAGGACACCGACCTAACCAGGTCACTAAGCATAAGCATATCACCATCCTAACTACCAGGATGTAATCAATAAACATATCATGCCATAATCAGGATACAAATCCATAAAGGGCCGGCCTTGGTGCCTTAGACCCTATTGATATAGTGAGGATAACTCACCTCGCAACTGCCGACTCGAAAGATAAGCTCAAACTCTCGGATCACCGCCACAAACTCCACCACCTATATTCACCATAGAACCATACTCATAAATTTCCAATTTCCCAAAATGCCCCAGAAGTCAAATAGACAACCCTTGGCCAAAGTCAACTCTACGATCAAGGCCAACGATCCATGTTGACCCGACTCGTCGAGTCCTTCCAGAACTCGAGTAGTCGTGAAAACCTCCCACTGACTCGTCGAGTTTCCCTGCAACTCGCCGAGTTCAAGCGTGTCCAAATGTCGGGAAAACCCAAGTTGACTCGCCGAGTCACCCCTCTAACTCGCCGAGTCCATGCAAAAGTCCTTGCACGACAATCTTCATCGGACTCGCCGAGTTGACCATGCAACTCGCCGAGTCCATTCAGTCCATTATCCATTCAGATGCTTTTTAAGCCATTTTAAGGTCCCATATTGCAGATCCAGCTTCCCAAGGCATGTTTATCACGTAAAGTTGCAAACTTTACGTGCATGCAAAGCTCATAATGCCAAAACCAAGCTTGCAATGGAGTTTTACACTTAAGGAGAGGCTCATACTTGCTAAAGCTGAAAGCTTTATGGGCTTAGAGACCAAAGAGAGTTCAGATCTGAAGTTACAACTTCAGATCTTAGCTCATAACCAAGAATAGCTTCTTATTATGCTAGAAAAGCCCTAATCTTTAACCAAATGAGATCTAGAATGAAATGAGGTCAAGGTAACGACTTGATACCTTCCAAAAGATGCTAACTGAGGTAGATTTCAGATCCCCACACGTTCCTTGCTTCTAGCCTCTTGCTCTCCAAGCTCTTCTTACAAAGATCCACCTTCCAAAGCTTAAAACACACAAGAATGAAGCACACACACGGATTAGGGTTTGCTGGACTCTCAAGAGGCTGTAAGGGGGCTAAAGGAGGTTTATGATCCTTTAAATAGGGTGTCAAACCCCAAAAATTAGGGTTTCATCCTCCAGCTCCTACTCGTCAAGTCCTATCTTGGACTAGGCGAGTAGGTCACTTAAACACGCGGCCCAAACCGCTTCTACTCGACGAGTCAGGGCATCCAACTCGTCGAGTAGACCTTGCAACTTATGAAAATCAAAGCCATAAGATTATCACCTGAGAGTCGGGGCGTTACAATGTTAGTGAAATGGTGACCTATTGCGCACATGGTCTTCTCCAGTTCTCCTGCTCTTTTCCGGTTGATGATTTTCTCTTGTCTGTGGAAATTGTTTTTCTCTTGCTTTCTTCGGTGGTGCTCTCTGGGCATGTGTTTTTTTCCCTGCTTTTTTTTTCTTTTGTTGTTCTTCTGTGCATTTGCGTTTGTGGTTTATTGTCATGTCTTCGTTTGTGATGTTTTTCGTTTTCGATTGTTGGGGATTATGGTCGTTCACCATATACAACTTCTCTCAGAACATAATCTATATTTCTATGTGTTTTTTGAATTCATGGAAAACTACCTATAATCGATTATCGATGGCAACTTATGGCCAGCTCTTGGTAAGATTTTTTTTTTTTTTTTTTTTTTTTTTTTTTTTTAAACCTTCCAATGGAATTGGCTTGGGTATGTGCAATTTTTGCAATTTACATTCTTTTCTTGACTTTGCTCTAATAAAGGTGTAAGAGGATCAAGGTTCTAAATAATGTAAGACGTGACTTGGTAGCAATGTGAAGCCTTAAGCTTTATAGAGTCGTGGCGAGCCACGTCGTTTGTAAATTGTGACTTAATGGGGCAATTCTGTACATATAATTAATAGTTTTATATATATTTTATATTATTATTCATTTTTATATACATGTGACTTAAGGCGGCATTTTGTCAAAGCTTGGCGGAAAGTACAAACGTTGGAGCCATGACACGCCATGACGAGCTTTTT